GCTCCCGGAGGACAGTCACCGTGAGCACCTGTGTGGCGGGCCCTGGGACAGGCTCACCGGGCCCCGGCGGAGGGGGACGCCTCCCTGTTGGCTCTCGGCCTCGCCTCATCCTGGGCACCTGGGGCGTCGCCCCTGCCGTGACCCCAGGACACTGCCCACAGACACCGGTTCGCCGTCTGCCTTGTTCCCTGGCTGGACCGCAAACCCGCTCCGGGGGGTCCTTGCGGCGCTTCGGCAAGCGCCCCGGATGGGGAGGCGGGGCCCGAGCCCTGCGCAGAGCAGCGTTCGGCGGTCCCAGGCCTCCGCCGAGCCTGGGTGTCTCGCTCTGCTGCGCGAACACAGCGGCCCCCTGGCCGGGCAGCGTGACGACGCCTGAGAGCCAGGCCAGGCCCACGACACGCCCTCCTGAGACAAAACCGCGCACCTGCACTGGCACTGCGGGCAGACGTTCGCAGCGGCAGCCGCCACCAGGGTGGGCACGGCCGCCCGCCCGCCCGCCCTCCAAGGGTGGAGAAGCGCGCAAGGGACGGCTGCTCAGTCACACCCAAGCGCAGCCTCGGTGACCTTGAGAAATGTCGCGCTGAGCAGACGAGGCCGGTCCGTGAGGGCCGCTCGCCCACGGCTCCCGTCACGGGGCGGGGGGCGGGGACGGCGTCGGGGGGCCGGCAGAGCCGCGGAGTCTGCGGGACAGAGGGCGGCGAGCGGTTTCCAGGGTGTGCGGGGCGGGGGCGGGCAGGGCCGGGACAGGACTGCGGGCGGGGCTGGGTTTTCTGGGAGGTGACGGACGTGTTCTGAGACTGCGTTGGGCTGACAGTTGCACCACCCTGTAGCTGCTATTAGCACCGAGTAGGGCGCTTCAAAGGGTGAGCTTTATGATCTATAGAGCATAGGTCAGGGCAACGTCACTGGGCTCCTGAACATGACCTCACAACTCTGTTCCTGTCCCCCCGGCCCCCCCCCCCCGCAGCCTCTACGGCCTCTTCTCCCTCTCGGAACACGCGGGAGGTCACGAGCGCATTTCTTTTCCTTGAGCGGCAAGGACTCGGCTTGATGGGTGGGAAGGAGGCAAGGAAGCATTCGGATGTCACGTAGTCTCCCTGCCTTGATTGCCCCTTCTGCCCCAGGTGGTGTGTGAGGGTCCAGGAGCCAGGTGTGAACGGGCGGCCAGAACGGAGTGGGCGGTGCTAGAGGCCTGAGCTCGGAGTCTGTGCCGCGGCGGAGCCGGCCCGCGGCCTGCCAGGCGGCGGGTCTCCTGGAGACCCCGTTTGGCTGCTGCCAGAGCCTGAGAAGCCCACACACCTGTGGCTGGTGCCCTTAGGCAGGGGCAGGGTGGGGGCTGGGCCGCGGGCCACCGACGGAGAGTTGCTGGTGCCGGGGAAGGCGGGTTCTTTAAGAGACTCCCGCCGGGGCGGGGGGCAGGGGGAGCCGAGGGGCTTGACGACCGTGCAGGGCTCCCGTTCCGGGTCTGGGGTGTCCGGAGTGCGTGCCCAGCTGGCTGCCGCTGACCACGGAGGGCCTTGAGGAGCGGGGTCCGTTCCCTCCGACTCGGCCCTCCCGCAGGGTGCAAGCATGCTCGGATCCGCTGCTGCAGAAGCCACCTCTCCCCTGCAGCTAACAGCCCACCTCTGCTTCTTCCCCCTCGAGCTCTTCGAAGCCCTGCCTGGGCCGCGGCCCTCGCTCTTCATTTCTGCCCCAGCGTTAACGCCCCTCCTGTCACCGAGGCCCCGCGGCCCCTCGGGGGCCCCGCGGCTGCTCCCGGCCACAGCCCGGCTTCTGCCCAGCTTCTTTCCTGGAGCCACCTTGTCTCGTCCAGAGCCTTGAGTGCCAGCGCTGGGACCCGCCGGACCCCGTTCCCCGGGGCGCGTCCCCCGCTGCCCATCCCAGGCGGCCTCCTTGTCCCCCGGGAGCGTTTCTCAGGAGCCGCGCCTTTGCCCCGCCTCCCCCCGGGGCGGCTCCTCGCTGCGGCCCAGGGCCCAGGCGCGCTCTGCGGCCTCCGTCCTGCCTGTCTTCGCTCTTCCCTGGTGTCCTCTTAGGTTTGCTCGTCACTTCTCTGGTCAAGCCTGCTGCCGCCTCTGACGGCCTCCCTGCTTTCCCGGCCCCTCCTCTCTGCGCAGGATTCGATGATCTAGCCACAGCGTCTCGCAGCTCCTTCAGGCCCCTGTTCAAAAACCCTCCGAGCCCCCGACCAGCCGAGCGGACCCTGAGGTCTGTCCAGTGAAGACACCCCAGATGCGTGGAGCAGGTCACGCGGTTAGGAGGACCGAGGCCGAGGGGGTGCCGTGCGTTGGCCGGGCTCACCCAGTGCCAGAGAGTGGAGTCCGGACGGGCCAGCCTCCCCACCTTGGTTGGGCCCGCGGCCCAGTGCAGCCCCAGCAGCTCCCGACGGTCACCCTGCGGCCAGCGCCCGGCCCTGCGCAGACCGGGCTCTCTCACTCAGGCTGTGGTTCTTCCTGTTGCCCACGAAACCCTGCTCTGGCTGCCAGCCCTTCTCCACGAGCTCGGCTTCCTGCCCCTGCCCAAGGCCCGTCCCAGCCCCTGCCGGCCGGGCTCCCTGGCCTGCCCACCGGACACGCCCTGGGGGCACCGGCACTTCTGGGCCTTGCCCGCGGGGGAGGGGCGAAAGCCGGGACCTGACTGCACCAAGTTCTGAGTTTACAGGGCTGTTGCTCAGGGAGCCCCCGAACACAGCTCACCTCCGATGTCCCCGTCCCTGCCCCCGGCACCAGGCTCTGTCCCCAACTCACATGTGGAACAAGTTCGTTGCCTCTTTCAGTTTCCTTACCTGTACAGTGGATGGATTAGCTTGAAGATCAAACTCTCAAGTTTTTAAAGCCACAGAGCTAATAGAATCTAATGTTCAAATAAAACCTTGCCCTGGCTGGTGTGGCTCAGTGACTAGAGCGCCGGCCTGCGAGCCAAAGGGTCGCTGGTTCGATTCCCAGTCAGGGCACAGGCCTGCGTTGGGGGCCAGGTCCCCAGCAGGGGGCGCGCCAGAGGCAGCCACACGTGGATGTTTCTCTCCCTCTCTTTCTCCCTCCCTTCCCTTCTCTCTGAAAATAAATAAAATTAACCCCCCCCAGACCTGGCCCGCCCTCCCAGCCTCAGCCACACCGCGGAGCGTCTCCTGGGCCCGCAGCGCCTGTCCCTGCGCCGTGTGGCCAGGGAAGCGCTCCTGGGCGGCGGCAGGACGCATGCCCCGGCCCTCGTGGGGGCCTGTCCGTTGGGGTCCCTGTGCCTTAGGCGCCCCCTGCCTGGCAGCTGTTTCTGGAGACTGTGGGTGGCGTCATCAACTCTCAGTCGCTGTCGGTGAAGAGGCTCAGTGCCTGTGTGTTGAGCAGAATAAATGAATGAGTGAGGGAAAGAGTGGGGAGGAAAGGGAAGCAGCACAGCCACACGGGGCTGAGGCACAGCCCGCCATCGGGGGAGACCCGGCCCGGCCCCCGCCCCACGCACAGGCTGGGGGGGCGGGATAGTCCCCGCCCCCGGCCCAGCATCTCCCCCCCGGGAGCCTCTGACACAGGCGGCACGGCAAAGAGGCAGAGAGCTGGGGCACAGCCTGGAAAGGGGGCTCCCAGGAGGTCGCTGCAGGTGGGGGGCTCGGCTTGGGGCTCGGGACCCTGGGGGAAAGGCCGGGGCTCCCTCACCGTCAGAAACCTTCCCCCTCCCTCTGCCTGCCCTCGGCCAGCCCTGGCCCTGCCGCCTCCCTGCCTCCGCCCCCGGCGCTGCCCGGAGAAATGCTTAAGAGCAGCCCAGGGACAGAAACAGCCCCCCGCGCGCGGGAAGGGGGGCGAGGAGGACCCTAACACCCCCCCTGCTACGCAGGCCTCCCCGGAGGCTGGAGCCTGGTTGCCCGGTCCTGCTGGTGCCCGAAGGCGGCGCCCCTTCCTGACGGGCCGGCTCCGGGAGGCGCGGCCCTGGGCACAGGCAGGGCTGGAGGGGAGAAGAGGGGGATGAGCGTTTTGCTCTCTCTCACCCAGGACCGAGGAGCAAATCACCTACAGGTACCATGCGAGGGCACCCACCGCTGGGTGTGGGGGGTGCCCTCCAGAGGTGAAGCGTGTGGGGCAGGGTTTGTCGGCGCCCCCACCCCCGGCCCCGCGCACGGCCTGCCTGGGTCCTTGCGGGGTTTCTGGCCAGGCAGGCGAGCCACAGTCAGAATGTGCTGAGCGGGAATCCAGGGAAGGCTTGATCACAGGAACTGAGGCGGGGAGAGCGCAGAGGGTCCGCGGACGGAGGCAAAGGCGGCAGGGCAGGGCGAGGCCCCGGAAGCCTCCAGTCTCCCCAGCTGGCCTCCTGGAGGGACCACTGCTTTGCTGCCTGAGGCAGAAATGGAAGTTATCCCCTGCCCAGGAGGGTGCAGCGAAGGCCCCCTCCTCTGGGCAGGGCTCTCCAGGGGTCCTGAGATGCAAGAAGCGGCAGAGCCTCGGGGGCTGCCTGGATGGAGGCCTGGGGCCGCCCGCCTGACTCTGGGCTCTCTCAGGGGCCTTTCCCACCATCCGTGAGGTTTCCCCGGTTTGGGGTGTCTGCAAGGCACGCGTTCCGAGTGAGGGTCTGCGCGGGGGATGGGGTGCCGGCAGGTGCCGGTGGGCCCGCCAGACGGAGCCTGCAGCAGGCGGCCGCCACGAAGGGACTCGGGGCCAGGTAAAGAGGGAGCGCGGCGCCCAGGGCTCCGTTAGGATGTACCAGGCACCTGCTGCCGCGGGGCCTCTTTATCTACCGCGGGCTGGGCCGCGCGAGGGGCGGCGGGAAGGGGCCCAGAGGCGGGGGTGTGGGAGGGTGGAGCCGGTCCCGGGAGCCAGGCGTTTTCTCTGCGCCTCGGTAGCCCCATCTGTGAAATGGAAATCACGAGCCGGCAGTTCCGAGAGCCGGAAACGGACGCGGTGGCTCGGGAGCGCGCCTGCCGCGCGGGTGCGGGAGCACGCCAGCCCGGAGCGCGCGCCGGGCGGGGAGGCGCGGGGAGCGGGTCTCGGCTGGGGGCGGGGGTGCGGGAGGTCGGGGGAGGCCCGCGGGGGAGCCGCGTCGCCGGCGCAGCGGTCGCCTCCCGGGCGCCCCGCGTGGAGAAGGCGGAGTGGGAGCAGGGAGGCTGCACCTCCGTCCACTCCGGAGGCTGGATTCACGCAGCGGACTCCACGGAAAGCTCCCGTTCCCCAGCTTTTTTCGCCCAGAATCACGCCCTTTGTTGAGCGTAGGCAGGGGCGGGGAGGAGACGGAGGGCGCGGAGGGAGGGCCCGCGGTGTGCCGCCCCCGCCCCGGTGTGCGCAGTCTGTCCGCTCCCTGCCCCGACCCAGCGCGCTGGCCCCGGGCTCTCTGGCACCCCGATCTGGCGGCGCTGAAGGCGTCGGGCCGGGGGCGTTTGGACGGATCCGTTCAGGTGGCTCTGAGTGCTGCTAGCTCTGGTGACCTTGGGTAGGTCTGCGTTTCCGTTCGCCCCGGGCTCCCCGAGGGAGGGGCCGGAGAGGGTTTGAACCGGCGACTAGAAAGCCCCCTTCTAGGGGCAAGAGTGGGCGAGGGCCCCCGGCGGAGCTGGAGCGGGGCCCGGGGCGCGGCTGGAGGGCTGGCGCCCAGCGCTGGGGTGGGGGGTGCATGCACGCTGGGGAAAGGGGACCCCGCTCCCTGGCCGAAGCCTGGCTCGCCTCCCCAGACCGGCGTCCGGCAGCCCCGTCCCAGGCGCGGAGCAGGGCGCTACCTCTTTAAAAGCGTCCGGGGCCGAGCCTCGCGCACCATGTGATTGCTCGAAAGGCCGGGCTGCGGCGGAGCCGGAGGACGAGGAGCGGCGCGCGCGGCGCGCGGAGCCAAGCCCTGCCCGGCGCGGCCGGAGCTCCGGGCGGCACCAGGTGCCCCCAACTTTGGGCACCGCCCCTGGAACACTCTGGCGGCCAGCAGGCAGGCTGGTGAGCTCCTGGCATTCCGTCCTGTGGGCTCAGGGGGAGAGAGCCAGGCATGGGGGACCCCTGGAGGGTGTGTGCCAGGGAGCTGCCTTACACTTGATGAAAGAGCCGGGGGGGACCGGGCGCTGCTGCCTTAGGCTGCTGACGGAACCTCCAGGGCGATAGCGGGAGGGACAGAGATTGGGCCCGGAAGGGCGGGGGCGTTCCGCCAGCTGCGCCAAGTGGGGCACATCTCCAGAGGGAGGGACTCCAGAGCCCCGTCGCCTCCCGCCCCGCAGGCTCCCACCCCGTGTGTCCCCGCCCCAGGTGCCGGCCGCGGATGTGCCAGCCTCGCCGGCCATGCCGCCCTCCATCTCGGGCTTCCAGGCCGCCTACATCAGCGTGGAGGTGCTCATCGCCCTGGTCTCCGTGCCCGGGAACGTGCTGGTGATCTGGGCGGTGAAGGTGAACCAGGCGCTGCGCGATGCCACCTTCTGCTTCATCGCCTCGCTGGCCGTGGCCGACGTGGCCGTGGGCGCCCTGGTCATCCCACTCGCCATCCTCATCAACATCGGGCCGCAGACCTACTTCCACACCTGCCTCATGGTCGCCTGCCCCGTGCTCATCCTCACCCAGAGCTCCATCCTGGCCCTGCTGGCCATCGCCGTGGACCGCTACCTCCGCGTCAAGATCCCGCTCCGGTGAGTGGGCGCCGCGGGGGTGCTGGCCACGCCCACGCCGGGCGGCCGGAGGGTCTCTCCGGGCCGTTGTGCCCCGTCCCGCTCTGTCCCCGGGCCCCGCAGTGCCAGGCTGAGCTGTCGCCGAAGCAGGAGGGTGCCGGGTGGCTGGAGGCACGTGCTCCTGGCAGTGCCCAGGGCCCGAGCTAAGCTGCTGCTGTTCTCTGGACACGGCCAGCTGTCCAGCCTGGAGTGGGGGTTGGAGGGGCCGGCAGGGCAGTCGGAGCGAGCGCTGGGCGGGACGCGCCGGGCCCACCGGTCTCAGGCGAGTGGAGGGGCGAGCAGGTTGCGGAGGGGGCGGGCGCGAGTGCAGAGGGTGGCACCCGGGAGCCGGAGGGCCGCTCCTACGGCAGACGGGCGCCCGGCCGCAGGCCCTGCGCGGTGCCAGGTGACTGCGTCCTTGGGGCCGCCCTGCGAGGCCAGGCAGTCTGGTTGCTGCAGGAGGAGGGAGAGACGCTGCGCCTCCTCTAACATTCCAGCTCGGTCCCCAAACCAAGGAGCAGGTCTTTGCTGGTCACAGCACGGCAACTCGTGCTGTGTCCAGGCAGCTGCAGGACCGGTGGGCTCCTGGTGACTGCCCGCTCGCAGGTGTCAGTCCGCCCTGGGGCTCCTGGCCCAGGGCTGCCGGACCCTGTCGCGTCCCCCAGCCGGGCGGGCACACTGCCGGCTGCCCTCCGGGACACCCCTGGGGCCCCTCCTGCGGCTGGGGGGCTGTGGCTGTCTCTGACACCTGCCAGCTCTGGAGCCGCGTCCACGTCTGGGACGCGGGGCCTCTGGCCTTACTTGGCAGCTTGCCCAGGCAGGCCGAGCCACCCATGTTCCTCCTGTTTGCGTTGAATTTGTGCAACTTTGGGAAGCTTTTTTCACGTTCCGTTTTTCCTGTTCTCACCACGTTCCTGTCAGGGAGCTGCCGCGGGAGCAGGTAAAAGAAAACTCAGACCCAGGGGGTCCCCTGACGCCGGGCTGGTGGGGAAAAGAGCCTGCGCTCCCTGCCCACCTCCCCCCACCCCCAGCTGCCAGGCTTCCCCGGGGAGGTGGGGTGAAGACCGTGTCCTGAGCCGGCAACCGGGAAGGCCTGGAAGCTCAGCGCCGAGGGGCCTCCGCCGCCCAGGGCCCCGGGTCACGGTGGGCTGTGCAGGGAGCGCCGGTCGCAGCCCGTCTGGCAGCTGGGCTTCTGCGGGCCCCGTGAAGCGCGGCGCTTCTGGAGACCGGCCCCCACAGGCGAGCAGAGGTAGGAAGCTGCCCGGGAAGTTCTGGCCGGAGCGGGCGCGAAGGTGGCCGGCGGCCGGGTCCTGCGGCGACGGGGGCAGGCTGTGCCCTCCTTGCCCTGTGGGGCGGCGGTCGCGGAGGGCGGCAGGCCCGCCCCTCGGGGGCAGCTCCTGTGCCGCAGGCCTTGGGGGCGCCGTGGCAATGGGCTGCCTTCTGGGGGCGCCGGCTGCGCCGAGGCTGAGCGTGCAGGCCTGGGAGCCGGCCTGGCCGTGGGCGTCCAGCTGAGTGACCTGGGAAAGCTGCTCATTCGCCTCCGGAAACTTCGGTCCCTCGTCCGCCAACGGGCGTGACCACTGCCCCTTCTTCCCGGGGCACCTGGGGGAGCGCGGAGGGCGCGGCCCGTGTCAGGCACATGTGCGCCAGCCGCGAACGGTCGCGTCGCCTGTGCCGTCTCAGCGCGCTCAGTGTGAGGCTCAAAGTGGGGCCGAGCAGGCGGGCGCGGCTCCCCCCCGCGTGCCCCCCGCTGAGTTCCCAGGGAGCCGTGCCAGCGCCTCGCGGGCACTCAGCACCCGGGACCGGGCTGGACGTGCTGCGGCCGCTCAGGCCCCAGTGCCTGGAGGGCCCCGTGGGGGGAACCTGTCTGCTGCCGGGGCCCCGCCCCCGCCCCGGGGTCCTGGGGGCTGAGGTGGCGGCCGCTCCGGCCCCTGCCTGTCAGCCTCCCATGGCCCCGGGGTCACCGGGCGGCTGGGTTGGGAGAGCCGCTCCGGCCAGAGGTGCTGCGGCCCAGGCGCCAGGGAGGGGTCCGCCCGGCCCCTCACCGGGTGCGGTGTGGTTTCGTCGGTCGACCACAAATTTTATTTCCCTCCACTTGGCAGAAAGATGAGCGAGAAAAAAGGTTCACAGCATGTAGTGTGATCCCGTTACCAAAAAAGAAAAAGCCTCCAGCGGCTGATTCATCAATGACCTGCGGTCATTTCCATGTGCTTTGCGTGTCGTTTGCATAACAGCTCACATGTTTGGTAACTGACACCCTGTTCCCCTCAGCTCCTGCTTCTGGGAGCCGTCCCTCTGCCTTTGCCCCAGTGCCCTGCACCCCGGAGGTCGGGGGCACCTACGGCAGGGCCGCCTCTGGGCAGGGGCAGCGGGGCCCCTGAGCAAAGCCCTCTCTGTGGGCAGGAGGCCCGCCGGGGGCGGGGCCGGGGGCAGGGCTCTGGGGCCAGAGGACCTGGGTTACCGACTGACTGCGCCGAGGACAGGACAGGCTCAGCCCCGGAGCCCCCGTCGGTGCCCCCGCCCCCAGCAGGGCAGGGGCCGGACGCGAGGTCCCTGAGGCTCCTTTCAGCTCTCCCTCGGCCTCGCCGAGGGTCCTGGGGCCTGGAGGTGTTTACAGCTGGCAGCGTTGGGGCCAGGCCGGACGCTGTGTCTGTATCTCGTCCACCTCACGGAATGCTCGCAGCCTCTCCCGCGTAGAGACGTCGTAGCCACTTCCTACAGGTGCTTTTCTAGATCAGCTGAGGTCTCAGGCGCCAGGAGGTGCAGCCGCTGGCCCCAAGCAGCATCTCGTCAGGAGGAGGCAGGACCCGGATCCAGCCCAGAGGCCTTTACCAGAGAGCCGGGGCGGGGTTTGCCTCAGCCCCGAGAGGCTGCCGGGCTGGGGGGAGGCTGTGCGCAGCAGGGAGCGCCCCCGCTCTGCTCTGCGCCCGCGCCCCCCGCGGTCTGCTCATCGCACACACGCGCCTCCCGCTCTCCTCACCTTAACCCCAGTGGGCAGAGGAGCCCCTGGCGGCCTTGCCTCTGTCCACAGCTGGACGCCTGCCCGGCTGGGCTGCTGACCGGGAAGCACAGCCAGGAGCGGAGGCCGGCCTGCTGGGTGGGCACAGGCAGGGCGAGACGTGGGTGGACCGGGGCGTGTGTGCTTTCAGGCGTGACTTCGGCCGCCCCTCCCCACCAGCCCGGGCTTTTCCTGACAAGCGAAGGGGTCCTGGGCTTGTGCCCCACCCCCACAGGCTGCCGGCTGTGGCCTCGGGGTCCCAGGTCCTGGCGTCTGCTTTCAGGAGTCGTAGGCGTCCCCTGTTCTGGATAAGGGCAGCTCCTGAGGCCGGAGCAGCCGAGGGGCGGCCGTGCCGTCCCGCCCCCTTTCCTGGGAAGGGGCAGCAGAGGCCAGGGCTCCAGCCTGCTCAAGGTCACTCACCCGGGAGGCCCGTCCTCCCCGCGTCCCCACCGCAGCCGCTGACCCGAAGTCCCAGGCCGGGGCAGGAAGAGCTCTCAGCGGCCGCCCCCCAGGAACAGAGCAGAGAAGGCAGCCTCCACAGGTTGAGTCAGCAGCTGGTGAGGGACCGTGGCCCCTGATGGGAAAGGTCGTTGCTTTGTCTGAGGTAGGGACGGCCTCCGGGCAGGTTTTGCTAGGGTCGTGCAGGGCCAGGACGTGGGTCAGCTCCGGGGGCCGCCGCCGCCTGCCCGGGCCTGCGCTCCTCCGCAGCAGGTGGGGGCCGCGCCTTCTGCAGAAGCCCCTGCTCAGGGGTCAGGGTGGGGCCTCGAAGCCACACCTGACAATGGATACTTATTCCTGAGCGTGAAGATCAGTGTATGTTCATTGTCAAGAACTTGAAAAATGCAGGAAAAAAATAAAGGTGAGGAAATCATCGCGAATCATACCTCACACAGATGAGTTTTCCACACGTCCATGTACGTGCCTATCGGTCACCTATGGATTTTCACGTCGTCGAGAGCCCTGGTCGCTTTGCAGTGCAGCCGGTTCGCCTCGTGCTGTGGTAGAAGCACTTGCACGTGCCAGTGGGAGCGATTTCGTAAGGGTGTTTACGGCGCTGTCGTGTCAGCCTGCCTTTCCACGTGTCTCGGTCTCATCTCCAGCGGCGCCCCCGCCGGGTCCGGCGCCCGCCTCTGTCAGGCCCTCCGGTTGCAGCAGCGATGTCTCTTCCCCGTCGCTCCCGGCCCCGGTGGCTTTGCAGAGCGTGGCCAGCGCCGACCACCAGGGCCACGCGGGCCCTGCCCATGGCCTCCCGCGCGCGGCTCCGAGCAGGCGCCGTCCGCGTTTCTTCAGTGAAAGAGCGCCGTATTTTTTCTTCCTTTCTTGGTTATTTGGGTTGTTACCGTTTGTTAACATGTCCCAGCTGTCACCGCCTGGCGCCCGCAGTTCACGCTGCCCCCCGGGCCGCGCTGCCCCTTCCGGCGCAGCCTCCCCCGTGAGGCCCCCCGTGAGGCGGGCGGTTCCCGGGGCCCTCGCCCCGACTGGGCCGCGCCCCCGACCAGCCTTGCGGCGGCCGCCAGCCCCGGAGCTCTGGGCCCTGTGCCCTCCGGCCGGGCAGGCCGCGGCTGTGGGGGCCCTGAGTCGCCGCGCCGGCTGCGTCCTCCCGGGGAGGAGCGCCGCCTCCGCTGCAGGGCTGGGCGTGGGGCGCCCCGGCGGCCCCCAGGCTCGGGCACACAGCTCGCCGGGTGTCCGCAGGAGGGCGGACCCCGTGGCCGCCGCCCAGGACAGTGTGGGGACCCAGAAGGCCCCCGGGTGTCGCCCCCGGTCCGTCCCCTCGAGAGTGGCCACCAGGTGGGCCTCTGTCCCCAAGGACTGGTTTTGCCTGTCCTTAAACTTTTATAAAGGGAATCAAGTAGATGTATGCGTTCTGATGTACTGTATCCTACTGAGTTTGGACACCGACTTGTTTACATTCTGGACATAGTTGGAAGAAAGAACCAAAGAGTTTGCTTGCGGATTGGATGTGGGACGTGAGAGGAGGAAGGGT